TGTGGAGTCAGACTACACCACGTGTAGAGAAGCAACAGTCTAAGATAAGGAATATTGACGTCGTATTGAAAGTCACTCTCGAAGTGCTGAACTCCTCCTCAGCTGTATTTTATTTCTGGCGCGTGAGGGCTGTGGTACTCAAATTTTGAAATTTGGATAAGCATTTCCTTAAAAGAATTAATTTTTAACAAACGTTTCTACTATGCTTCAGATATAATATTAAATGACAAAAGAAGATTCATAACCTTATTTTATATCTTACTTTTATAAAAATGATTGAATGCCTTCATCTCTGGATGTTTATTATAATTTCTGTTATTTAAATTTGATTGCTGATTATGATATAATTATTCAAAAATAGGAATTCACTTAGATGCAATCAAGAGCAAGTATTAATTTATCCTTGATTGTCTGATATAGTGTTCTGCAAATACGGAAACAAATAGATTTATTCACAATTTGTTTCTTTGTAGAATGTAGAAATTTCTGATATCAAAAAATTGCGATATGCAGCCGCAGCCGCTTCGCGTTGTATTTGGGTTTTGGACGTTATCAAGTGATTGCTGAATTGCTAGTTGGGCAAAAACGATTTTTTAATTTATTGTAACCATCCTAAATAATGCAGAAATGTAATACTGTTGTAGCAAACGGTAAAGTTATTTCTGGGTATATACACTATATATATATATAGGAGGAGGTATATATATATATATATATATATATGTGGTGTGTATGTGTGTGTGTGTGTGTGTATGTGTGTTGTGTGTGTACATACATGAGTAATATACTTGTATGTAGTGTTGAGAAAGTTATGTAAAATCGTTCGCCGCGGAAATCGATTCTCGGTTTTCAAGAACTGCAGATTTTTGGGGTTCCTTAATACGGAAAAAGAGTTTTCAAACATCTATTCTGCTATCGGTTCGTCTTGTAAATAATTCTAAGCAAAAATTAATAACGTAACAAACATTTTCATCAAACTTTGCTCCAAAAAATTATATGCAAATGAAAATTTGCATATACAGTCAAGGTTTTACTAATTGTACTTTATATAAGTCGTTATTTCATTGTTACATAGGACGGACCGAAAAATTTAGAAAATGTGACAAAATATCTTGGGGCAGTTTGGATAAAGGAAGGCGAAGTCGGAAAAGGTAACCGACTAAGAAAATGACAACACCAGTACAAAACACACCAAGTCCAGTGCATTACCTGATATCAACTTACTAGTTATATCTGTTGGGGAATTGGATGTCCGTGGAAAATTTCATGAACACGAGTCAAAATTCTGAAAAACGATCACGCTCGGGGCGTTCCGAACCAGGCAGGCGATCGATGAGTGTAACACTTCAATGCTAGATCGTTGCATAAGCATGCTTCAAAACGAAGAGGCAATATTGAAAGAATATATATATTGTGAAATATCAGCAAAAGAATAACGTGTTATTCTGAAATCACTGATTCAATTCTACCAGATTTTTGTATTCAAGAGATTAAGGGTGTCTTGGAGAGGTCAACTGCGGTTTTTATGACGAAATTGTTGTTTTCTCTGCGCAGCTTTCTAACACATGTCTCATGCGCATTCTAGAGTCCTCATATCTCCCATCCGATCTGACAATTACTTTTACATATTAATAGGTTATATACACAACAAACATTAATTGAATAATGTGTAATTAATGCTCTTCTTAGTCGGTTTTTTATACAAAACTTTCGATTTAACATTTGAAAGAGGGAGTGGTTATCGGATTACCGGTTCATTTGCGGGCCTGCTAGGAATTTTTTCACAAGGCTTTCCCGGGGCTGATCTATTGCCATCATCGAAGGCGTCTTTCCTTGATTCTTCCCTGCACACTCTTCAGACCGATTGCAGTTTGCTATAATTGTCTCATAATTAACTTATCATACTCTAATATTTTATCAATAATTATAATATTTTAGAAAAAAATAGACAGGGCAAGAGTAATTGATTTTTTGTTTATTTCGTTTTCTTCTTCGGTAGGACTGTGGATTTCTTTGGAACACTTTTAATTGCTGAAATTTCAAAGTCGATTGAGTCAGGCACTGCATTCCGGCTGTCTTGTACATATAAACAGAGCAGAGATAGAATATAGAAATTAAACCGTTTATGAGATAAAGTATTTTTCGTGTAACTTCCGTTCAGTTTTGCGGTTTTGAAACAGTTTCTTCCATTTTTTTAAACCCTGCGTTAACGCTGTATTTATTATCACACTTTCTATTAGCATGATAAAATAATGAATTTATCTAGTGTATCGACTACCTGCGCCGCTCTAAACACAAAACCTTCCATCCCATCCACCCTAAGGTCTCCTTCGGCGCCCTGCTTGCCAGCCACTGTGTCTCCCCGCCCCAGCATCTCCCTGGCCCATTCGGATCGACTACCCTACTTAGATCACCGGGCATACTGCTTCGGCGCAGACTTGCAAGAATGTATTATTGAATACTCTCCGGCAACTCCGGACAACGATTATTGACCTAAGAAAATTCTCAAGAAGGCGTAACTGGTGCTGAATCGAATTAATTAAATAAATTAATAATTAAAAATGTTTGTAAAAAGTAATTATACGATACGATGTATATAAAAATTTCCTAAATTCAGTATACCAAGATATTTTAAAAAAACGAACTCGGAGCTGAAAACAATGTAATTCAGACGGCTCCACGATATCCATAATGAAAACTGGTTTTTTTGGGTTCTTCTACTGGTTGAAACATGCTCAGTTTAATGCCTTGGGTTTAAATTGATTAATTTAGAGTTTATAATAAACTTAAATTTTATTCTGAGATGTTCTCAGTGTCAGCTCGCGCCTCATAAAATGGAACGCGTTAACGGAGACGAATACGGAATATAACCCCGACCATAATACGAACATCGAAATGGCCAACAATCGTTTTCAAAATGGCGAACACACCCACTAGAAAGACTGGAATAGCTTGCCTTAAGACGAAGCGTCGTTGTTTTAAGAAAATTGATTGTAGTCAAAACCCCAGGCAAAACAGCTTCTTACCCCACCATCGCATGCGACTCTATCGAAGTATTATTCAATGCTCAAGGCGATTGTCTCAGAATTCTCCAAGAGCACGCGTTGCGTGCACGATCCGTGTCAATTTCGCTCTTTATCTCGTTGCAACAAATACGCGGCGATCACCATTTTGAGTAATCCAGAAGGCTTCCACGGGTTTAGGTAGATCAGGGTCAAAATTAATAATGACCCATGCCCCCACCCGGGATCCTAAGGGTTCGAGTAAAGACAGGTGGCATCTTACTAGTAAGATAGCTCGGTCGAATTTCAGCTCGCTCCCGGAGGTAAAATTCTAGAGGCAAAATAGTAAGTCAATGACTGTAGTCCACTTTCTGCACAATTTCCACAAAATAATTTCGTATGCACTCCTTTATAAGCTCCAACTACTCAGGTTTAGAAAAATAAAAATTGGGAGGAAATTGCAAAAGATAACTTTTGTTAAAAACAATAAAATCTTTCTTCCGACAAACTTCTGGCAGAAAGATACACTATTTACATCCATCATCTTAATACAGAATTTATTCCTGCAGAACACTAGTCTCGTTTGTTGAAACTTGTAATAGGCCATGAGGCTGATAAATGTGATTTGCCATACTTGGTTCATGAGCTCACACATTTGACTTTTCACTGCTCATACATTGTACATTTGAGGGCACTTAACAAGTGTCATCTAGACAGAGTTAAATTTTATATGATAATGTGGGCATGAAGTTAAATGATGATACAAACTTTATTCAAAACTAGTATTCTAAAAAATAAATTCTGGGTAAATGTTGGGTAAGGGATTGAAACATATACTGCAAACAAGTCAAAAAAAAGGAAAAGAAAATTTGGTTAGATGGTACATTCTCTGTGACCCAGAGGGTTGAACTCAGCATTCAATTGAAATTATTTATTTTTATTTTTTCTGCTATTTCATCAGACTTGTTTTTTCTTGGGAAAAATCTTTTCAATAATCTTTTCAAAATCTAATCAATAATCAGTGGTTCACAAATTCATTGGTTAGCAGGAAAACAGAAATAAATTACTCCAACTGAATGTAGAGTGCTAAAGACAAATCCACAAGGATATTACTTTCGTTCCTTCAATTTATTAATATATCTATCAGAAGTTATCCTACCAAATAAACTGCTTGAACTACACGTGCTTCATGTCGGTTGCTTTGGGTTTTCATATTACCTAGCTTTGCAAAATCCACATTCTAAGCAAATCAAAGCAATCAGCTTGTAGGGTGGATGGTTCAATCAACAGTTTGCGGCCAATGTAATCCCTGTTTTATGATATAGCAAAAAGGAGAAGGAAGAAGAAAAAGGATAATGCTGGGAAAGCTGGAAAAATAAAGAGAACTGAACAACTTAAAGAAAATGCCCACAAAGGAAAAAGAGAGATAATGGTATCAAAATATCACAAATAAGGCAATTTACTGACACTGTAACAGACAAAATAGTTTACTAAGAAAATGTAGAATTTCAATGTATGTTCACTATTTTGTCAAAGTACACAAAACGCGATGCTAAAACTTTTTTTTCTCTGCTAATTATTATTGGAGAGACTTAAATAAAACAGCTCTGAATCAGACTTCCATTCTAAGGTAGTTTTAATGGAAACACTTTTTCTTAAATTTAATGACAAATTTTAATGCCTCCATCGAATGGATTTTGAACCCATGACAAAATGGTCCTGTGATGAGAAATGAACCAATGACTCCTCTTTTGCTTACAAAATATATATAAGAAGTTCAACGCACTATCAATAAACAATAAAGTTAACAAAGTCAGTTAAGATATTTAATAAAGTAAAATTTTGATTTCAGAAATTTTTTCCACTTATGTTTATTACAAAACGCAACAGTTTCTATGTGAGAGTGCAACACAGTTCATTGGCAAAACAGGAATTACCAATGATATATGTATATTGGTAAACAATATATGTATATTGGTAAACAATATACATACTTACTTTTCTTGGCCATAGAGCTTCCATGCCTCCAACATTCCTCCACACAAACCTTCAAGAGCTGAATTTGGAGGAAGCTGCAATGCAGTAAAAGAATTAATACCTAACAAGAAGGATCATTAACACAAAAATGCAATATTCATTTGGCACTTACATTTTTCAATTTCTCTCCTGCTCCTAATTCTGCCAGAACATAGCTGTTAAGAAAAGAAAACAATGTACTTCCTTTAAATTCAATAATATTGTAATAAACAAACAAAACTTCAAAAGTAGACTACATGAATAATAATTATAATAAACTGCAGGTTTTAACAAAGATACAACTACAAGAAAAAGGAAAAAAAATACAAATTCAGGAAGATAGTGTTCTTAAGAATTCAAGAAAAGAAAATAACACTTCGTACTACAAGTACTAGGCTATTAGAAGCACTAGAATACATAAAAACCACTACTTGCAACATATATTAATTTGTCTTCATAATAAAAGCAAGCTCATTGAAAATAATATTAAAAAAGCGAGAAAACTGCAGCATGGTAATAAATGCTATTAGGACCAATTCCATGCAAATTTTATATTATATTATATTATATTATATATATATATATATTAGAAAAGCAAATAATAAATATTAGTATGTTAAATAACTATTGTTATTATTGTTTTCCCTTTAAAAGGCACATTTAATATCTAATTTACATTTTGAGCAATATCTTCAGAAAAAAAGACAAAATCAGATAACCAAGACATAAGTAAAGTGGTAGTTAACTAAATTCAAGAATTAAAGAAAAGGTATGTTATTATTTGAAAACCAGTGCATAATAAACAGTCAAATGCACAAAAACTAATAAAGAGTTAATGCAGAGGATGTTAAAAATGATACAACAGAAATTAGTAAAAATTCTTATTAAGGATGTAAAATATTTTAGAACTGTGGAAAATATTAAAGAATTGTACACCTGAATTTTACAAGGAATATATACACAAACCTTCATACTAGCTGTAAAACAAAAGTGGAATTAACACAGAAACACCCACTGGCTTGAGAATGATCGTACCTATGCAGTGTCCCTAAGTGTGAACTAATGCCTCCGAAACTGGAAGCAATGCTGTTTATTTCAACCTGTTTTATGGCACAATCTGCAGCACAGTGGAGCAGGTAGTCTGAACGCAACAGGCCCAGGCTCAAATTCTGCTGGAACAAGAAATATCCTCAGCATTTGGCTGTTTTTTATTTTCTCCCAGCTTTCTATTTCTGCAGCATTTGTTTGCTACAAGTAGAGGAGTCATGCCGTGTAGTTGGATGTCCATATTAAGCAATCTTATTATCAAAATAAGCAATAAAATTATCTTATGATTATTGGTAACAATTCTGTACTTCTTGAAACCCAAAATTGCATATACTACAGGATTAATCTGTATGGTAGCACTGTGAAAGCACATCTGCCACACTTCTAACAAATGAATAAAAACATTTTCACCCCAAATGATAAGAAAATGAAACAATTGCAAAAACTGTGACAACTTCTGTGAATGAGTTTTTCCACAATGATTTGTTACATACACAAATATCACCACTAGGCTAATTCAAACTAATGTGAGGCAAACAAATTGAAAAAATTCTAGTGGTGAAGAGTACAAGACAATAATGAATATGTCCTGACACTCCCAATCTACCATTTGGTTCTTGCTTTTGCTCTTCATTATTACCATTACCTCAAGAATTAATATTCATCAATATCCTCTTACTCATAAAAATAATATGTTCTTACTTAGTACTTTTATCATAAATCCATACTTAAGTGGATCTTCTCACTGTTCAAACTAAAAAATTCAATAATTGCCTCAAAATTGCTATTACTCCCCTGCCTTCTAACTGGGGAGAAGAGAATATTGCATTGCAAACTAAAAAATAATTTCAAACTAGTTTCAATTATCTTAATGACAACAGTAAATTACAGGAAAGCAGCAGTAATATAAAAAATAAACAACTTCACCAGTAATCACATCTTAGGATTCATAAGCCTAAATATAAGAATGCAAATATCACAAAGTCTCCACAAAGGGCATACAAATTCACATAAAAGCAAACATTTTCCTTCATGTCTTCATAGATTTAAATTACTGAGAAAAGCCTAATTTGATTTAAATCACTATTTACATCAATTATTAAAATCAACTGATTTACTTCACTGGCACTCAGTTTCTGGATAACACTAACTAAATTCCATCCCGTACAACAATGCATCGCAATATAACTGTGATGTAATGATGGTATATGTATGTAAAAAATTAGGGCAACATGGAAAACAGTAATTCATTAATGGTTTTATAAGATGTACCTAATCTCTACAATTGGAAATATTTGCTGTCTCTCAATAAATACTAATTCACTTATTAATTTATAAGTCATATAATAGTGATAATTCTTTTAATTATGGACATCATGACACATCATTCCTATGAAAACTTATAAAAATAATGAACAAAATTCAGTTTAGTTGTTTTGTGCCACCATGCAAAGTGCATCATTCAATGTTGTTCAGGCCATCGACATTCAATAACAAGCAATTTAATGTGCTATTATTTTACAAGCAAGGCAAGGCAATGCAATGAAATGCAATACAAAGGTTCTCTTCTGGTAAGCAATGGAATTTTGATAGAGGAAAATAAGTTCAAAATAAAATGCAATAACCTGGACTAACTAATCGCTAGCAATTACAGAAACAAATTTAATATGCTGTTTACTAGCAGCTTCACATGTATGTATGCATGCATGCATGAATATTTGCATATTTTATTTAGCATCTAAAAACTAAAAGCAACAAAGAGGAAACTAAAAAGGATAAGAACTAAATAAATGAAAACCTGCAGTTTAACGCTTTCTAGCAATTACTTCTTTTCTACACTTTTACTACAGAAAATATTTTTGCAGTTACAACTTCAAAGACATTCACACACTACCTTCACAGACAAATAGTTGTTAAAATACAAAACTTGCATAGTTCTAAATAAACCCTAAAAGGAATGTCCCTTCCCTTAATCAAATTACATACTCTAATCACACATTCTCAGGAATATTATGTAGGGTGATTCATTAAAATAAAGTTGACCAAATTATTCGTCATGTAGCCTAACCTGTGGATGAGAGCTGATGCAGGACCGAGCCACCCAAAGCCTGATGCAATGGTATTCACTTCCACTTGTTTCCAGCAACAGTGTGGCTGAAATTTTGGCTTTTTATTCTTTTCGTTGCAATCACCACCGCCGCAACATGTCTCCAGCATTATATCTGACCTGAGTAGTCCTAATGCGATTGGCTATGGGAAGTAACATAAGTACTGAACTACAGTTGGTACAGTGCACTAATGCTTTACAACTCAAGCTTTAGAGTGTTGCTCAATGTGCCATGCACAGTACAGAAACAGTTTAAAATTAAATTATTTTTGAGAAGCCTGTTACTACGAAAAAAATGAAGTATGTGTAAGGTAAGCAACTACTCGTTTGTCCTATTCAAATTAAGCCATTCCTACAAACATGCATCAAGTTCACAAAAACATGCTCAATAAACAGTTCTTGTGCTTTTTAATATCATCTACACAATTATAATTTTCTCCAGATAAATTTGATGAGTTTTTGAAATGTATATTGAGATGAAAAACACTATTAGCACTTACAAATATATGTTGTTAAAAACTAGCATTGCATTTTGTGAAGTACAGTTAGGTATAAATGAGGGATTTATCACAACTATTTACTGCAGAAAAGAGAAGGGAAAAGCAAAGTTTGAAATAAGGTCAAACTAAGGGAAAACAAATATGCCTACAATCTATATGAAGAGAAAATCCTATGGCCATCGTGTAGAATCAACAATTATACTCCTTATGGGAAAATTCCCAAAAGTGAATGGTGTATACCAGACAATGAGAGTTGTCAACTAACAAACAGAAAGTAACCTCATGGCAGCTGTGTATTAAAAGGTTGTTGTACAAGCATTGTAAATAAATATTTTAATACAAACAAAAAATCATTGTTATTTTAACAATATTTACTATAGCATAGTAAGACCGTGTTGTCACTGACCATCACTCTCACAAGAGGTAACAATATCATTTAACTTTATACATCCATCAAGTACTTCAAATGTGATTCAATTTTGAGATTCTATTATGGGACACACATTTTGACATTCCTTACTCTCACTCAATACTAATTAGTGAACTGTCACATTTGTTCAACTGTTGTACGCTGTGTGAAAATTTTTCATTCATTCTGGTTTCTTTGATAACTGAAAAATTAAATTGTTTTGTACAGCAATAAAAGCCCTTGTTAAGTTATTTTGTTGGCTGACCGTAACATAAACAATGTGGTTTACCCACAAAGTCATTAAGCATTACATAAAGAGCACAAAAGAAAATGCTTATACTTTTGGCACCAGTATCAATTTTAATATGTAGATAATACGTCTTAGGATTATGAATATAATAATTTTTTATCAATTTACTTTCATTCATTGTCCATTTTACATTTTCATACTTGTTACCGAGTATGATCAATAATATCAAAAGAAGTGGGTTACATTACAGATTAGGCTCCGGACAGGATGGATTCCCAGGGCTCTGGAGCTCTCCAAAATTATCATCAGATACACACTATGTCAGACATCTTCCTCATTAAGAAGTATTCACCTACCAGGTGTTCCTGTGTGATTCAAATCTTTGTCGCTCTTTCTACATCTCTCTGCACAGTGTTTTGTACTTTAAGCTGCCTTTGGGAATTGATCTTTCATTCTCTAAATACTCCAGCCTTTTCTACAGATTCCTTGTAAATTCCTCTAGTTATGCTTGTTGCCTTGAGTCTTTCACTCACATTTTTGGTTTCTCTGCCGATCCAATTGAGAACAGCCAAAGAGATCCTCATTTAGAACCAAGGAATTTCATTTAAGCTGCTTCCAGACGTTAATTAGATCGTTGGTGAGGTAGATACCTTTTAATAATTAAATACGGTAAATTAAAGATGTTGTCTGGTATATTAAATTTATTTTGCTAAAGAGCTCTACTTCCAGACATTGGTTATCCCTGTTTCAGAACTTGCATTTTTGTACCATTTAATATAACCATCTTGCCTGACCCATTGTGAGTTCTTGATTTGGTTTCATGAGCCACATTTTTTCCAAAGTTACTTTTAAATTCATTTGTTCTATTGTAATTCAAAACTCTGCATTGCTATACTTCAGAATTTTGTTCAATGTTGTTTCCTATATGTAGGAATATTAATGCAGGATCATTTATTTGCACCTCATTGACAATCTTCACTCATTTTCGAATCTCCATATTTGTTTCAGAGGTCTTTGTTTTTTCTTAGAGATTTTCATGTTTGAACTCTTTGCTACTTTGTTAAATTAATAGGCTACGATCTTTAGTTAACTATTTGATAATTTCGAAATTTTAATGGAAATACAATTTTTGGGGTAGCATGGTACTGAAAAAGTTTTTTCTTCAAAATGTCTGACCATCTGCATATCTTTCAGTTGGACCATCTGTTGTGTGTGAACAATGCAGTTGCTTGAACTATTCATAGGATTTTTGACAAAATTATCTACTCTTTCTAGACTTTTTCCAGGTCCTTAGACTTTGACATAAATTTTTAGTGGTACTTTGGAGAATTTCATTTTTTTTTCCAAATCGGCACCTTTTTTGTTGTTGTTGTAGTTGTTGCTTGTAAGAATACAGTTAAACACAGTTTACAGTTTTGGAGATAGTGTAGATCCAATTTTCACAGTTACCCAGAAAAATTTTGAATTTTTAAGTAATAGTTTAATTCTATTAAATTCAATGAAAGTAATAATAAATTTACATGATTTATCCTATCAAGATAATCCTTTTTCAGGCATTTCTTTAATTATTTAATGTAAGTTTTATAAAACTTGGTTCAACTAATTTATATTAATTGGCATTTATTTAATGTAGTTAATATTAGGAATAAAAAACATCAAACCAATTACGGGAGCACAATCTTTTTTTATTTGATTGAGATTGTGCTCCCGTACAGATTGATGTTTTTTTATTCCGTTGTTATATAACATCTATTATATACATCTATATAAGATCTTTTACAAAACATTTTATTAAACAATATTTATTACACATTACTAGATTATTAAGCATGCATTTTATTTGTAGGTTGTGAAACTTAATCCCAAGAGGACTGTGTATTAATGTTCAGGATGCAACCGAGGTAACTTCAATACACAAACAAATACATAACATAAAGGGCTTCTTGTTTGTGCAATGCCTGTTTTCAACTTATTATACTGGGGAAAGCATTAGGTCTTCCATGGATGTATGAGCACAAGGAATATTATATATTCAAAGTTTCACCATTATGTTAAGCCTTCCACTACGTACTTTTTCTCCACTCCTGATATAAGTTAAGAAATGTGCAAGTATACTCTAAAAGTTTTAACACCCACCTGCGTTATGCCTTCTGAATACACTGTTTCATAAATCTTAAATAACTTGTTTGTAAATTCATCAACTTCTATTACACTAGATAAAACAAACAGAAAAACATGGGTCATTTTTCTTTTACATGCAAATACTCAAAGATAAAAATCACGAAAAGCAGCATAATATATTCATTCTGAACAAATTTAATTTTCATATGAAAATAATTCACATCTAAAATATTAGTGGCATGGCTGGAGTTGGTGTCATCCCCAATTCAATAGATAAATTTGTATTTTAAAATATAAATACAACTTTTTTATTAAAAATGAAAATACATTTACCATAATCTATTAATATTATTTAGTGTATATAATAATTAGTTAGTTATACGAAATGGGGGAAATTTAATAACAATTCAGAAAATAATAACAATGCATTTTGTAACTAAGGGATTCGTAACCTTTATCTTTATAATAACTTCAATATATAGAAAAGACTTAAATAAAACTAGTCTGAAAATTGTGAAAAGTGAGAAATGCACAATTTAAAAAACAAAAAAAGAAACTTTCAAATTATAAAATTTTAAATTGTAACCGACACTCAGGATGACCAGCAATGCCCTTCCACCCTAGCTAAGCCACTGTATAAAATTATTGATTACGTGTAACTGATGTTCTCTGAAGAATTTATTTTCCCAATTATGTAATTGATAAACTTTTGAACAAATGATCCAAAAACCTTTGTTGTGAACTTTTAAAAAACTTGGATATATAAATATGTTAAAAAGAGAAAGAGGAGGCAGGGGGAAAAAGAATGCTGATATATTTTATTACATTTAACTATCTATTTCATAATGAAGAGTTCCCCCATTCCAGTAAAGATAATCGTTACTTTTTGGCAGGTTGACAAAACTGAACAAAACTACATTAATTATACACTTGATTTAAAATTTAGCAAAACAATATTTAGGTGAAAAAAATATTATATAATTAGGCAAGTAGGACAGTACAAGAATAGAGAGTTGCTATTTTATAAACACAAAGTTTGAGTTGAAAACACAAAGTCTTATAGAAGTGCCATCCATATTCCTATGATGAAAGAAAGTGCCAGGTGATAGTGTAACCTTCACTGGGCTGGGCAAATGAAATTACTGAAGGCTCCCGTAGCGAGATAGAGGTGAGAAGTAAGGTAGGTGGGAAGGAGACGGATTCAAGGAAAGAAAGGAAAGATTGTAGTGAAATGGAAGTGTAAGAGTAGTTACAAAGATAAAAGGAAGAATCAAGGGAGGAGCTTTAAAGTTGTTATTGCCTAAATGTAGATAGTACTTTACTGTAAGTGTAGGTAAATTTGTTTCATCTAAGAGGAAATGAAAAACATTTTTATATTTTAAGTATCAAGTCATTGTTTCATGATAATGTTGCTCTACATAGGCTATCTTTGGATTGTCAAAGTCCACAAATACACAAGTGTGTATAAATTAGATAGGGCAAGGAAGTTGTGTTTAGACATTACTGATCTTATACTTACGTTCATTTGGTCATTTACATTTCATCAGAACATATTCTGTAATTGGTGGCCTCTAAATGATAAAAAATAAACATATTTGTTGTTCTGTCAATGGAACTGGATCTTTTGTGATTTATTATATTTTCCTTTGTGCTTATAATATTTCTTAATTCAATTCCATGGTGGTTGTTTAAATATGTTATTACTAATATTGTGAATTTAATGCATATTAAAATATACCTATTTATTTGCTGTAAAATCATTTATAACAACGAAAATTTGGTTGTTAACACATTAGAGCAACATCAAATGTATTACCTTCTTTATAGAATGTATTAAATATCTTTATTTATAAATTAATGACAGTCTTCAATATAAAAGGGATATGCTCATTACATGAATATTTTATTTGACTAAAAGTTGGCCCTTTCATGATGGTCACAAGTACTGATTCGTACAGTCAGTTAGGGACATGAAATTACTTACAAATACCTTTTTTTTAAGCAAAAACAAAAAAGGTACTATGAATTTATTTACATGTGTGTGTGTTTATAAGAATATACATTGGCTTCAGCAAGTGCTCACAGACCACATTTTCAACATCTTTCCAAATATATCACCACTGCTTTCACAAATAAAATTTTTTGACAACAGATTTATAATGATAAACAAAATTACTATGAAAAAGTATAATAATTACTACTGTACCTTTTCAGATTTTCTACTAAAAAGTCACGATCATGAGCAACCTTGTGAACTAATTCATTCAGAACTTCTTGAATGGCTACAGCCTTTTCAAATTCTTTTCTAGGAAACACCGATGGTATAAGAACAAATGGTGCAAACTGAAGAGAATCTGGGTTGAAATTTGTTTTGGACCGCATCGCAGCCCCTGCACAGAATTAAAGAAACTATAAAATTGTCACTGTTTTATTGCTTTTTTTAAAATTTATTTAATATACTTTGTAATGTGATGTAGGTTACCATGCATTAAAGCCCAGTCTTTTGCCTTTGGAACTACATCTTCCAAAACTGAGGGTTCCAAAGGAAGAGAAATGCAGGGTTCAAAGCGTGGGACAGCCATGGCAAGTTAAGAACTGAAAAAGATACGAAAAGTATGGAAATCAAACACTGCAATTAATTATGTTAAGCATTAAACGTGTCTATCACCTATAACAAATAATGAAATAACTCCTCTCGTCCGCTGTATCAGCAACGACGATGCAACTCACGAGATAGCAATGTCATCTATTTACATAATGTCAACTACTACATACACTGACATGCCACCACGCCTCTCCGTTGGTGCCGGCGTGTCTTTCCTTATCTTTCACCACTTAATATACTCTTTGATTTTTCACAAGTTTCACCCACCCCACTGCGCAAATGTTAGCCAACATTGCCCAACAAAATTTCACACAGATTATATCAATTTAATATAAACATAAATACCCACACACAAACAACTCTTGAGAAATATTTTATCTCTATGTTCAATACACACCAATAAACTAATAATACAGGAATGGTTTTTATTACTACTTGGGTGATGTATTTCTCAAAATACTATAGATACTATATTTGATTTCTCTTACAAACTTCACGACAAAGTTGGCAGTAGCATGTGGTATATTCTCTTTGCGGCAATAGAATCATAATCTTGATAGGAGGCATGGTTCTTGGAGAAAGGATGGAGAAAGTTCTTTCCACGAAACGGACAGCCGCATTGCAAGGATAACTTTGCATGTGATATGCCATCGGTACGGTCATATTATGGTCACATAAGTGGGAGGACTAAATTAAATACAGCTAAGGAACATTCCCCACTCTGTAGAGAGGGCTGTGAGTGTATGTAGAGTGGGCCAAGATGGCTAGAGTGCCCTTGGAGTGGACTCTGAATACCGTGTATGATTGCCATTAAAAATATTCATATTGTTGTGCCCATACGACAATGAAATTCAATAACGTACCCACTCTACAGAGGGCTGTAGTCCAGTCCTTACGTAGTTTGCTAAATCATAGTGGTATAGTTTTGATTTTGTTTTTTGAGATGCTGAATACGAATTTGAAGTGTGCAACAACAAAGGAAATTAAAAAAACAACAAACACGTAAGAATTTGAGTTGTAACGGAAAAGCAAAACCTCTGGCATTTGTTCCCGAAGAATTTGTCCAAGCTCAAGAGCTGCCAAGGGCCAAGGGGGTAGGTCTTTTCCTATACTGCGATTTTCATTTTCTCGCACTTATCAACGTAAGAGAAAGCATTGCAATCGTGAGCAGGAAAACTGCGAATTACCGACACAAAAACCTTTATTTCCGGGCCCTAGTAAGGAAAAAGTGGATAAATCCAGTTACTGAATATAGAAAACAATCCTCTAACACGTGGTGTAGCCAGATTCCACGTTTTGTGCGTCCTTCGTACGGAAAAAATTGATTGACGGCGAAAGGTCTTATCTGCCTGTCCGTCCGTCTGCGCAATGGTAGCGCAAACCCGTTATGCCAATTTCTTGCAAAATTGATACTCCCCCAATCGCTTTAGCTGATTTTGCGGACCCTGGAATTTGAAAGCGATATTTTAATGAGCGGGGCACCTTACATGAAGCCCCTTGGACATAAAAAAAGGATTCACATTCTTTGATTAAAGTTTATTGTTGAATGGTGCAAAAGAAGTTTAAGAAAATGGCGCAGGCCTCTTTTTCGTCAGTATCTCAGATATTTCGAAGAAAAAAATTAAAACTTCAAAACTGGAAATAGAGATTTTTGTCTTGGAAAAAGTTTGTTGTACAAAATTAGCTCTTCGAAAAAGGTAATTACAATATAAAAAATGAAGTTTTTGCGTATTTTGCGACTGATATTTGTTTTAAAAAATCTCAACCGCTCCAATTTTGTACTTTTAACTTTCTCAACATATGTAATAAAGAACGGAAAGAACGCTAGTTTCATTTTCGAAAACTTCGCTGATGGTATGGTGTTGACGAGGTATACTGGTACCTGCTTGCACGTTTAGTACGTTTATACCCTTTGACGGCTCTACACCAACTAGGTGTGATGTAACAATGACCTTACCTGTCACACAAAAGGGCGCTGCTAATCCAAAGTGAACGCCAGCTCAACGCAAATTAAATAACATCTTATGTATAGACCAGGCGCGGATCCACAGGGAGGGAAATTTCCCTCTCTTTAAATTTTTCTGTATCTATTAATTTTGAATTGTCGTGAAACTTTCAAGCAAAGAAAAGTGAGAGAAAAAGAAAGGGATAAACATTACTACGCATTACACCTAATTGTAGCCAACATTTACAAAATCTGCAATATGACACCTACCAAAACATTTTGAATTTCCCTTTCTCAAAATTCGTCTCTGGATCCACCCCTGAATACACCAACACATCCACGGATTTTTAAGTGATTCCAACTATTCCTTCTGGTTGTTGCAATTTTTTCGAGCAGCAGTGTGTGTATGTATGTGTGTGAGGTACCAGAAAGACGTTCCGGTAGAACAACATTAACAATTAACTTGGGACATGTTTTGTAACCTAAAATTTTACAAATCAATACTATCACACAAAATGTACAATCCCTGTATTAATTTAGTCCTTTAATTAGTGTCACAAATCATACTTTCTGGGCCAATACGATGTAACTGGAGATATGCAAGAAATTTTACTCTATGGATATTAGAATTTATTCACCAAGGATGTGTCTGTTTGAAAGTCAGGTGTACACATTGTCTCCAATATTCAGTATTTTTATGTTAAATTCACTGCATGTTGGTAATCCTTACGAGAATATTCTTATCACTACCAATGAAAGTAACAAGGAACAATAAGAACTCGTGACAGGATCATGGTAATATCTATAGAATGTTTTTATTTAGCAATTCTGGGATGAATCTCCCATCATGGAACACATTTTATGGTCATATCCACTAGGTAAAAGTATAAATATTATTACAAAGATAATTAATTATTATTTCATTCTCATGTTACAAATATTTATACATACATCACTTTAATATTTACAATGAGACAGAGAAAAGACTATTAATCATATCCAATAAAGTAATATTACAGGAAAGATTCATTTCAACAGCCAGATAAAATATGCATTCTACAATGTCATTTCATAATGTAGAAAATAAAAACCATAAATATATACATCCAAAAGTTCTCAAGGGTAAAGAACATTTTTTTAAACTTTTATCGGTGGAGGCACTGATAAAAAAGTTATTAAATCTTTTGTCATTCTTTGTTCTTAGAAATTTTCTTAGTGTTCTCTTGTGGCACATAATTCAAACAAAAGAAATAAAAGAAAAAAATGTACCTTACATGTATGTTATGCCACTATCTTCTAGCCCATTATGCTGTTTTGTTCATAAATAGCATATAACGGAATGCCACTTCTAGCGGAATGTGATATTTTCCTCATCCAAATTGTAGTATATTTACATAATTCAAATTACTTCTTCATAAAAATAGCAAAAAAGTACTCATTTTCTGTGAATGAGTCATAGAAAAGTAATTGCCTTTCATTAAGTTATAAGTCATTATCCGCCTAAGACTGATGGAATAAACATAAAAATACCGCTGTACAATATAGTACAATGAGTATGAGCTGCAACACGTACGAACAGCATGACGATGAAAATATGATAAGACCCTATTTTAAAACTCTTCAATTAATATATATTAATTAAAAATAAAATAACTTTAATATTTCAGTCACATTCCAAAACTTAATATTTATTTTTGTCAGTAATAATAAAAAACGGTACTCGTTATGTCAAGGATCAAATAAATTACAGGTACTCGCTAACACTTGAAAAGAAGTGCCTGCCACAAAATACTCATAAGTTGTTACAAGTACACTATGTATGATTACATACACCACTACAGGATGTTTAACAATTATCTGGAACTTAAAAGCTTAAGAACTGTTTTTGTATGCAGTGACTACAAGAGAGAAGAAGACTAGGTGAAGTGGACTATTTTGCTGGTTATGCCTAAGCAGTTCCCAACACATCAGCAACACAAATGCAGTTGTGGAAGCTGCTTCAGAGTAGCTTGTAAACATCAATGGAATGCACACATCACGCTTTCTCCGAAAGCAGGACAGGTTATAGGAAATGGTCAACTTATCAAGGTGAAAACAATATTATATATCACCACTGAGTCATTGTCCCTCGGTAAGCTTGGAGGTGTTTCATTTGAAAAGAATATAAAAGGTGAATGTAATCTCCTTTTCACTTTCATACTCCCTTACAGCATTCCCACTATGATTTTAAAAATATATATTGCACAGATCATCAATAGTGAAAAGGAGTTTTGACTTGTACACAAGGGGTGAGACTGTGTATATTAACATGTAATTTGCCATTTTAAATATATAACATATGGATAAAAGCCTAACTTTTTAACTTAATTATTAATGACTATTGTACTTAAAAAATGACACAATTTACAAACAAACAGCAACAAATGCTGCTAGACACATCTGTCAACAAAAACTTACACAACAAACAGCCTTGAAGGAGACAGCATTTATAATGTAAAGATATATTTGAAAAGTATTCTGAAGGTAATATTTGATACAGTAAAATGATTTTGTAACAAAAATTATAAGAACAAATACTGACAAGCAAATGCATCATTAATTTGGCCAAAAAGGATATTAACAATCACAGACATAACACATGAATTATTGTTTCCTTCATTGTAGGGAAGAATAAGCTAATAACATATGAAAAATAAGTTTCCTGATAATAAAAATACAACTATACATGTTTGAAATAGAATGATTCTATCAGAGTGAATGCTGATGTAGCCTATCTAGACAGGCAATAAATGACCACACTCAAAACAAATTTTCGAAATTGTTTGGAAAACAATGTGCTCTTAGATACATGTACTTATATCTATGGACTGTACAATGACCTGGCTTTTGGAGATCCATGTTGTAAATTGTTTATTGATTGAAAATTCTTAAATTAAACAACAGAAACTTTCATGTCACAAAACCACGATGTTCTTCCTCAGCATGTGTACCACATAAGGCATTTCATATGGTTCATTAAGAGTCTTAAAATAATTACAACTTAAAGAAATGTAAGTACTACGCAGAAATGGGGAAACAAGTCTGCCTCTACAACTTTTGTTTAATATTAAAGTTTGTATCCACATTTATCTGTGATATTTTGCACCCAACATTACAAAAATGAAATTATTTCAAGGCTCACCTTCAGGTAACAAGTCAAAACAACAAAATAAATAAGATATTCATATTTTATCCTGGTGTGGTATTCCATTCAAGGTGAGACTGCTCTGCAAGATCTAGTTCATCTGCAACTTAAAGAGTCATTTACTGAAATGCCCATTACTACTTCTACTGTCACGTTTAAGACTTATACTTGTGACTTGTACTGCTCTGTTTCGCATCACAACCTGTGGTTACAGAACCATCTGTGCTTGAAATAGAGTTCAAAACACGTTTGTTCCACAGGCAAGACATGGGTTGCTACCTTAGTTTACGTAAACAATTGTTCAGATGATCTAGAGCTTGCTGTGTCTGGTGTCGTTCGTAATCTTGAAGACTCTTGGTAGCGACAAGTTCTCTTAATCTCCGATCCAATATATCAGCTTCTCGCCTTCGTTCAGCAAGTAGTTTGCATTGATAGGCACACTGTTCTTGGAGAACAGTTCGTTCAAGTTGTTTCTCTAAAATATGAATATATAATATTATAAAAAGGGTCTTTCAGATTTTAAAAAGGAGAGGGAGAGAGAGGGAGAGAGAGAGGGAGAGAGAAAGAGGGAGAGAGAGAGAGGGAGAGAGACTGGGGAAAAGAGGGGAGAGATAGGAGAGAAGAGAGAGTGCGTGTTAGAACACTTGCAAGTGATATGTCTATTTGTGTCTGAGTGTGTGTCTGCATGCATGTGTGTGCAATTGCATAAAGAATGACAGCATGGGCACATTTTTTATGTGGTGTTCACACATGCACATGTCTGTACACCACACATACAAATGTGAGTGTGTACTACATGAGTGAGAATGTTTGCACATACATACACATGATAACGAACACAACCTGTTCCACAATAAAAATAATTATAATAATAGTCATGACAAAGATAAAATTAAAATTTAACAATAATTTTGCCCACTACCCCAAGAAACTTACCTTGAGCATATCTGTGGTAAGCATCCATGATCTCTTCCAATCCTGGCCATCGAGGTCTTTCATCGTCTAGAGGAGGTGTTTCAGGAGCCTCTATATCAACCTCATGGTCTGTAGCTAATCTCTTCACCCCATTTTGCAGCAACAGAGCACTTGGTGAAGGCACGCTGGCAAAATGAAAACCAGGTCTTGTGCCATTCTGACCAGGGTTGGGTAGCACCAAAAACTTATCAGCCGCTGGACTCAGTGGCCTCTTTAAGCCAGAAGTTCGTTGCCTGTTCATAATGTCAGGTATTATTTTTATGACACGATCATTCTCTCTGAATAGAACTCTGTTCTCCAAAGGATGTTCTGGCACTTTCAAACTGATAGCTGAAACTGTTGGTGTCTCTTTCACAATGGATCGATTGCAATAAGCCACTACACTATTCACACATTTCCGACGCAGTCTTTCAGCTATTACTGATTGCCAAATATGCTCTATTTCTGAAAAAAGAAAAAGAACCACATCAGAATATATACAGTAAATCATATGTTTACTAAATGACTATCATCTAGTAAATAGCAGCAAGCCAATGCATATTCTGGTACACAGAGCACAGGTGGAAGGGCGAAGGAGAGGGCTATCGTCAACGGCAGCCCCTGGAATAAATTGTAATGTAACTGAAAGAAACTTTTATGTATTATGCATAAGTATTATATATGTACTTTGCAATATATTATTATTTTCTGCCGGTTTATGTTAAAATATTTTTAGTTTTTCGGATATGGTAAGGGCACTAAACATTTTCTAAACTTGCGGTATTTTCTGCAGAGGCATAGATGGCCATGTCTTTTGTTGTTGTTGTTGTTGTTGTTGTTGTTGTTGTTGTTGTTGTTATTATTGTTATTGTTGTTGAAGAACTGGTTCAACATTCACTGTATTTTTTTGGATGAACAAGTATTATCTACATTGACCGATACTACAACAAGATTTAAACGTAATTATGAGCAATACAGAACTGTACAAGTATGATGGACCTTTCATAAAGTGATTATGAATTGTGACGCTTACAATATTTTTGTGAAGTTTCAATATGCATTCAAATACACATCTCCCACTAAGGGTTCAGAAAGGTTCCAATAATACAAGCCCTAAAGGATGAAGGAGTTTGTTCGACTCCTTCCCTAACAAAAACATAGAAGGCAAAACCTGAGCTGGGGTTCATTGTTGATCCCCACCCTTCCCCACTAGTCTGCGACTTTTAACACTACGGAAATAATATTAATCATGAAATGTATGTACTCCATGTACATTATGTACCATGACATTAATGAACTTGGAGACACATTTTCTGGATTTTAGGCAAGGCTAAATTAACTTCAGGGATTGTAAACATTCTTAAAAACTTGGCATCTCTAAAAATATATCAAAAAATTGAATACACAATAAATATGAAAAATAAACTACTGTGAACAAATATACAATTTTGTTTAAACATTTTTTGAGGCCCTTACCCAAAGCAAGTGTTTAGTGAGCTTATGAATTAATCCACCCTTGATTGTGGAAGATTCGAAAGGAAAGGATTCTATTTGTAAGACAATAAAGTAAGTTATACTTGGAGGGGGGGGAATAGCAAGAGACAAAATTCAAACCATTTGAAAACAACATTTTACTCACTTTCAGGTAACATAGCAAAACTGGCATTTCAGTAAAATAATTTAATAATTACGTCAAATTTAATTTCTTTCTTCAATGGAAATGTCTAGCAGCAAAAAGGGTGGTAACAATAGTAAATGCAAACATAAGAAAAGAAAAACAATTATTATAATATCAATGTAAATAAATATTATTTTACCTTCTCTATCCTTGCGAGATAGAGCATCCAGTCCAAGAGTTTTCAAGAAACGAGTTTTGCTTTTGTAGTCAGCCAACCGACTGAGGCTATCAGGTGATTCACGGGGCACAGGTAAGTTAAGTGGAGGAGGTGAATTTAAATCTGCTGAAGTGGTATCATCTATTTGAGATAAAGTAGCACTGGTAACCAAACGCCTTTCCAATTTTTTAAGCTCCAATTCTGAAAAGTATTTTCTTTTTTAATATTAAAAAGTAACACTTCTTAAAAACTATATCTTAAAAATTGAAAACAAAGAAGTAAATTGTTGAAAATTATTAAATAAGAATGCAATATACACAAAGAATTTTTTTTCACTTGGAATGAAAACAGAATAAATTAGACAACAAAAATTAATGAAGTCTGGATTTCATAAGGACACATGTAATATATTTGGTATAAAGTAAAATAAAAACATGGTTTGGAAAAACTCTAAAGATATTACATGAGTTATACTGACAAAAAATACATTAATATGAAGGTACTTAACTTCTACACTTAATTACTTCAAAAAGTGAGAATTCTTTATTTCAAAGGAAATAAACTTTCCTTTTTTCCTTGCCTTATTGTTGTTATGAGTGTGAACATTATTGTAAGCAGAATTTGAATATTTCTTCACAACATACTGTGACCCGTTTGTGATTGACTCTTCTAAATGTATCTTTGCTTAACATCGTGACCAACCAGATACAAGTATTAAATGATGCATAAAAATAATAATTTAAAATAATAATAATAATAATAATAATAATAATAATAATAATAATAATAATAATAAAAAGGTAAAATGTGAAGAAACAGTAAATTTAAGAGGAAAATTTTGTCAAAACCTTATATTGGTTATTTTTATTTGTTTAGAAGTACAACTTGTTTATGTGACATTGTAGGTTGTTTAGTTTACTTTATTTATATATTTGCATATATACCCATCTGTGTCATATTCATAAAAATTAGTGTGCAGATTATATGCAAGTTACATACTTTGAAAATTTTGCACATTTTTTTTATCACATGTTACACCACTGAAGTCACCTAACCATGGGTATTTTATATGAAATGGATAACAATAATCGGTCATATTTAATTGCTTCAAAACAACTTGAAAAAACAAGTTAACAATCACTCGTTTGCTACAAGAAGAGTTAACTAACTTTTATTTGCTTAACTATGTTACATATAACAAAATTATTTTAATGGTGAAAGATAAAGCAAATAGCATGGTTAATGAGCTCAAAATTGAAAAATATTCTGCCCAAAATGTAGTTCAAGTAATTTATTTAGCACATGCTGCTAATCTTGTTGCAAGAACAATCAGAAATTATTATCCTGGAAAAACAAATTGATTTCTGTGTAAAAAGGATATTTTAAAAGCCCCACTAAGGTTTCAATGAAACCCTGCACAATTTACTATTGCGTCCAGAACCTGTTTTGATATGGGAACCTATTTGGTTGCCGATTAATAGTCATAATTTTGATATTAAAAAAGTTATTTTAGAATAGGCTGACAATTCTGAGACTTTAAAAAAATTAATTAGCAGTACAACAAGTTCTTAAAATGCTCATTACATATTTCATTCCAAAGACAGTTAAATAACTTGATACACAAAATGAACTAGTTGTTGATTCAGTCATCTTTATTAATGAATTTGAAACAAAATGTAATTCTGTCAAAGGGAGAACGGGTCAATTGTGTACAAAATGTTTCATTCAATCATTGATAAAAACACAGGATTTTTCTTATTAAAGGGCATTGTCAAGGTTCTTTCAGGAGAAACGGGTCACAATGTAAATATTTATTATAGTTATTATATTAATTTAATATTACAAAAATGAAATATTATATAAGTTTTTGGACACCCTTGAAGTTCTTTTTCTCGGCGCCCTATATTTGGCCTTCATAGTGGGAAGCAAAGACTCGGGGCACAGAAGTAGGGTCTTTGTCTCAATTTCTCTTGTGTACATAAAAATTACTTAGGGATCCTTATATTCCCACTCAAGAGTAATCATTGATTTAAACTGAAGCTGGAAAAGCCACAGTTTGCTGTAATGTGCTATGGAGTTTGGACTGTAGTTTCTACTTCATAGAGATTCAGAATTGAATAATACCTCAAACAACAAGTTTTGTAAAATAATTCATTGACGCTATTATTTATTAGAAACTCATGAATAAAAAGCCAAGAATTGTCAAGAAAATTATTCAGGCTAGGAGTGGATTTTTTTTATGAAAAGACATTATGTTAAAATGTTTCAGTTTATTGTATATACACAGACATGGACATAGGTAATTAAATAAATAAAAATATAAGAAAAAAGGGTCAAAGTGGGTCTCAGAACACATCAGAAACTGGATATATGCAGTGTTTCAATCAAGTTTGATTACTTTTAGTCGTATTAAAACTTATTCACTCTTAATTCAATTACCATAGGTTTGTGTAAATGGTAGAAAGAATGTGAGAATATATGAGCCATGTTCAAGCACTTCTACTCTACATTTGTGTATGACTTTCAATCAGGAGTATAATTCTGCAAGTAAGTAATGCAAGAAAATATGAACCAAGATGAAAAATTGATACAAAATGATACAACACCATACAAAAATTCTTAGAATCTGTATTTAGTATATTTCATGAAAATGAAATAAAAACATTTTAAGGAAAAAGTACATTAATTCTAATAAGGAGGAAGAAATCCTGCATTCAGGAAACAGAAGAGAGGAAAACGTCTTGGCTACTTTACCTGAACTCTATTACAATGACATAAGAAAATATAAAAAATGAAATAATGCAGTAGGAATATTGATATTTCATACCATTTCGTTTAGTGAGAGTGATTAGACCAAAAATTGCTAAAAATTTGAGCTTCTTGGGAGGTGCATCCAACTCCGCAGGTGGGCCTTTGGTAAGCCACAGAGGTGGTAACTGATCATTCTCTTCACTTTCTGAATCAGAAGCTGACGAAGGCACACTACACATTTTCCTTCTCTCCCTCCTTCGCCTCTCTGCCAAATCTAATTTACTTATCACACCTGGTGGCGACACAGCCTCGGAATCTATTTGCTGGAACAAAAAAATAAATAAATATTTTATTGAATACCAAATGATTTTAGGGTGTAGATATACATAATCTGCACAGAAGTTGACAACAACTGCTCAGTAAAGAATTCTTAAATATTGAAGATACACTTACCCTTTGACCAGTGATACTTTTACTTAAATAATGATAGTCCCAAACTGACATGGCACTCCCACCATCCTTAGATTGCACAGCAGCCAGTACTTTAGCTGCATCTGGTACATTGAGCACAGGAGGAGGGGGTGCAGGAGGAGTGACCAGTTGAAGTCCAGTGCTAGATGCCAATTGTAGCACAGAATGATGAGTTGACTGAGCAACAGATAGTTGTTCCCTATTAATGGAAGGAGGAATGGGGACATGTAGTGTCGGTTGGCTGGCAGTAGAAACTGGAAGAGATGGAACAGAAGGAATTGTGGGGATAGTGGGTATATTTGATACTGAAGATGATTGTAGGACTGCAGGGACACTAGGAACAGATACTGTAGGAACAGTTTGAACAACAGGAACTGTCGGAATTGAGGGAGGAGCTGAAACAGGTGGAGTGGATGCTGCAGTTGAGACACTTGAAACAGATGGAACATTTGGAATTGATGGTACAGATGATACTGTTGGTATCGAAGGTATTGCTGGAATGACTGGAACCACAGGGGGTTGGTTGCTCGGCTGCAGTCCCGCATGGCTGGGTACACTTGGCATTTGGAGTGCACTGTTAGGATTTGCCAGATGGTCCCTTCCCAGAGAAAAGGGTGGCAATGACGATGTCACAGGTGGCTGATACGTAGGCTGCATGGTCTGCAACGCAGGTGGATGGTGAGCCTGTGTCACAACAGGAGGCAGTGCCGACAGCGGCTGCGGAAGAGGCCCTGGAAGAGAAGGCTGATGCCTCACCACTGAAGAATCTTGGCTTAAATGTGGAGGATGGTACAGTTGAGTACTTGGCCCAATTTGCTGAGTCAGTCCTGTTGTAGACTGTGCTGTGTGCTGCTGTGGATAGGGATGCAAAACCGATGACTGACTTACAATTTGACTCTGAGAACTCAGAGTCTGGAATGACTGGGATGCAACTTGAAGAGACGACTGACTTGGATGTTGCAAGTCCAAGGCAGGAGCAGACATGTTTACTTGACTGTTGGAGTGTGCGTCATGCGTTCCTACGTTTGACCCCCGGGATGATAACACCACTTTTTGAACCACACAATCACTTGCAGTCTGCGGGATGTTGCTACTTTCTTTACTCGTGGAATACACTGATGTCCGTTGTTGAGTTGAAGCATCTTCCCGTACACTGTTTTTACTACTATTCACTGAGTTCTGGGAGTTGTGAGGAGGAACACTGTTCACTGAAGATGAGGATGTATGATGTCCATGCATTATTTTAGAACTGTTGTGAATGCTATTTGCATCAGTAACGGATGGATGAGGTGGTTCTGCAGCTAAACGGTCTCCTTTGGCAGGGGAGGAAGTCACTACATTCGTTGCTGTGGCAGAAGCCACGATCGGTGATCGCCTGTTGCTACAGTGCTGCTGTGGAAAGTTATCTTCAAATGGTCTAACAATATGATCTTTACTGCTCTTAGAAGTGGGCACTGAACTTAAATTGTTTGTACGTTGATGTGGTAGTGAATGCTGACTAGATGTGAAGTGAGGGGCAGGTGGCTGGAGATGATGAGTCATATGGGTTGGTACAACTGACGTGGGTGTCAGTGCATGTTGATGGTGGGGGATATGGGAGTGTGGAGAAGTTGTTACCTGAGGAGATGTATGAGGAGCCAAAGCATGAGGAGGGGTGAGAGGATGAGAAGGCAAAGAATGAGAAGGGGGAGTAGAGGCATGTTGTAAATGTGGGGGTGTTTGATGAGGAGGGGTTAGCCTGTGGTGGGAAGTAAGACTCGGAGGTGTGGGAGTATGAGGATGATGTGGGGGCAAGGCATGTGAGGGTGGGGTAGAAGCATGTGGGTGGTGTGGAGGCAGGGCTGAAGCTCCAGAGGGGTATGTTAATTTTGGGATGGCTCCTAAATGGGAAGATGAAGACTGCTGCGTCAACAAACTTTTCCCTGAGTGTTGATGCAGATCAGATTCATGAGGTATGTTGGGAATAGGATGTAAAGGAGGAGGAAGAGTAACAGTCGTAGGGTTAGGAATAGATCCAGGAGCAATCAAAGGAGGAGGATGTGGGGCTCGGGAAGAACTGTGGGAAGAATCCACATCCTTTCTGCTGGAGTCTGCAGTCCTATCCCGTACTCCCGTTATGGGTGCCTTCCTAGCTGGAACAAAAGACAGACCAGCACTGTGATGAGACCTGAACTTCTTAGCTTGAGGCATAGAAGCTACAGACTACATCAATGAACAGTGCAGCCTTACCACCCAATTTCAAGTGGACTACTGTATTAGCCAAATCATAGGTTGAAAATTTTAAATAATCAGACACTATGGTCAAATTTTCTTTATTTGAAGGAGAGACACATACAGAATTATAGAAAAAAATCCTAAGAATATGTGTTTGTTGTTCACATCAATCAAATTACAATACTGATTCAACAAAGAATTTTAACATGAAGTACACCCAAAGAACACGTAACAGCACGATACATGAAATTCAAAAGTCTCTCATTGCACTTCAACAACCTAGCGTAGCCGTGAACCTTGTAATCAGGCTAATACAGTCCGGCTGAGTCTCTGCGTCCTGTGTCCCGACCGCCCTCACCTGGAGACTCGTGGTGGGAGGGGGAGGCACGAGGGCTGCGCCGGGACTTGTCACGGCGCTCCTTCTCCCTTTCACGTTCCTGCTCCCTCTCACGTTCTCGTTCGCGCTCTCTTTCACGCTCACGTTCGCGCTCCCGTTCACGTTCACGTTCTCGCTCTCGTTCCTTTTCTTCTTCTCTCAATCGCTGAGTCTCTCGTTGTCTATGCTCTTCTTCCAACTTCAGCCTGAACCCAAGAGATCATTTTATTTAGTTAAATGCATCTCTACAAACACAATGCAGAACAAAATCCTTTGATTTCATAAAAAAATCATATAAAAAAATGTTAGTAATGATGATTATAAATTTTCAAGAACGATCACTATTAGAGCTTATTAAAACTTTAAAAAATTCCCAAACATTTTAATGATATATCCTTGAGTTTCATTTGCGGGGCCTTCAGTTAATCAGGGAAGATCAGAAAAAAATTCATTTATTTAAAACACTTATTCAACAAATTGGCCCACAAATTAAAATGTCTTCGAAATTACATAATTGTGTAGGAAAGTTTATCACCATTTTATCACATTGAAGCACTACCCAAATGGAATTGCTTCACAACACAAAACTCAAGAACCAAACCATAGTATGTAATGTGATATGTATAATTAAAAAACATCTCTCTAAAAAACTTCCTTTGTAGATAAAAAAATTGCTGTAGGCTATGGAATTTACAGCAAATAATCGCAATATGATTATGTACACACGGTATAAGGCCTTACCAGACCAAACAATAACTATCACTTTCAGCACAGCACTGTACTTATTTTTCTTTCTTAAGTTCTAAAAGTAATTGTGAATTTTCATTTGTTTCTGTGCAGCTAGGGACATGTCATGGCAAATGTGTGAGTCATAATCTCAAATGAATCCAAGATTCATCTTGTCATTCATTATGATACATGAATGTGAACTTTGACATACTTATAAGAACAAAAAAGATATTGACAGCAAGTAATGCTTCTGAAACAATGATAATGAACTAAAATAATTCACCTTTTATCAAATGACATTTTTTTATCATCATTTTCAATTCTCAGTGCAGTATAAAAGTTTTCTTTTGAATGACTTGCATAAACATGAAAGCTAATAGCTAGCATGCTTTTGCGGTGGCATCTGACAATAGTTATCATAAAAAAGATAATGAAAATGGTTTTGAACGATTCACTCAAATAACCTGGCTGCAAACTTTTACAATCATGACTTGTATTCATGGCTATCAAGGTGTGTGAAGCATTGAGTCCATGAGAAAGAAGCCTATAAGTCCAAACGGAAATGGAGATATAGATACCCAAACAAACACGAATGAAGTAATGAACAATTATAAGTTATGTCTATTTTTTTTAAACCAAAAAAGTAAAACTGTAAAACTGTATCAAGAAACAAATACAAAGACAAGAGCACACTTATCAGTAATACACTTTTAAGTTATTGTGTAGCATCAATAAAACTGCAAATTCCCTAAAATTACAGAAACGAACAACGCTTAGAAACTTTCTTATTGACACTAGAGCAAACACTTTTCTAGAAGTTTGCTAATTTTAATAATTTTCTTCCTTTATCACCATCTTCCATAAAAGATCAATTATTGTTCACCTCATATACTTTAATCTACATTATTTCTAAAAATTATGTATTCACTTTTTATAGAAGAAGCATTTTCTTAGGCTGCCACACATAAGACTTTTCTAAAGGAAAATAGTTTTGAAATTTTTTTTCCATACTAAAATAAATAAATTTTAGAAAACATGTTGAAAATTGAGATATTAATTTCTCTTATAGATCATGATCGACATTTTATTAGAAAATGTCTAAACTTATACATCAACGCTGAACAATGTAAACAGTCATTTTGACAGGGGGACAGTATTCTGAACAACCATTCTTAAAATCTATTGTGATAAAAATGTGTACTATATATGACCTTTTTATCCATTTACCTCTAGTTTCTAATGGTTTATTTGAAATTTCAGAAATTTTATCTTTAGTATGGAAATAACATTATTCTAGAACAAAGATAAATAGCCATTATTACTTGCATGTGAAGCGTGTTTCACATGTTTTGATGAATATATATCTCAAGGAAAAAGTAACAAGTAACAGTAAAACTCTTGTAAAGCGAATTTAATTCAGAGTTGACACTATTGAGCAGATGATTAAAATAAATTTCACCAAAGTAACCTGCTAACGTTAGCCTATTCACTTTTCCTACCAACTGGTCAACATATTCAAGACAAGGAAAAGCACTGCATTGATATAATTTGTGTAAGGAAAAACAAATTCAGGTCGAAATGTAAAAAAGAAGAAAACTTGTGCGACAAGAAGTTACTGCATAGGACTGGCATTAATACGAAAATAAAAATATAATTTCACATTCTTGTGTTGTGTTCCAGAAAAACGATCTTGATATATAGACTACTGCAACTTCAAAGTACGGTTGAGTTTTTATCATTAATTACCAAACTACAAAGTATATAAGTAATTGAGTTTGGAATTCATTCATCAAAAAATTTATTTTCATAAAAATATTAATTTGTTGCTTTCTACACAAATTTGGTGGCAGTGAAGGTGTTATCTTCTGTTCTGGGGTAGTATATTTTTCTGGCTCTCTATTCAAATGTCAATCTTGTTAATAAATATCCCAATTTAAATAAGAAATACTCAATTACCTCTACAATAGAATAAAAGTGAAAGAAAGAAATAAAATCCAAAAGTCTTGCAATGTGCATACCTTTCATGCATTGGTGGTATAAGTCCAAAATGAGTGGGCAGCATTTCCGGAGAATATCGTGGTAAACCATACAAATGGTGATACGATGGAGGAAGAGGAGGAAAGAGCGGTGGCCGTAACATACCACATCGTTCCATACACAAGCCTTCAAGCCTGAAAAGAAACCGAAGAAAATACATATTAAAATCATTAAAAAATTGCAACAAACTACACTAAAATATTTATTTGCCTAGTCAGCAGCATACTCACCCATAAGGGTGCTGGAGATGAGTGGCAGGGTACAGGCCATGGTACTGGCTGTAAGCTGCTGCTGCAGTGGCTGGGTCCAGAGCAAACGGAGGTGGTGGAGGGCCTGGGGCTGGAGGTGGAGGGTGCCCAAGACGAGTTTCCTCAGGCCGATAAGGCTGAAAGCCACTACGTGGCTGCAGCTGGGAGGCTGGTAGTTCAGCTGCACTCACCACGTTGGCACCACTACCTGTTCGATTGGCATGGCTACCATAGAGCGGAGTGTCATCAGCACGAGATGAATTGCGGGAAGATCCATGCTGATCATGGCTCAAACTTCCACGGTCCTGAAACATTACAGAAGACTTCAACTAAGGATAATCATTCCTTTTGTTTCTTTGTTTCTTTTTTTTGAACCCATCATAAAACAAAGTATATCAAGTATTAAAAAACAAACAAACAACAATGAATATTGATCAAGAGGTGAGGAGATCTGCATACCTTCCTTGAGTCTTGAGCACAACCTGCAGTTGGAGATGTCCCTTGAACAAGAGGGGGTGGTCCCCGAGTTTTAGGAGAGCGTGATGGAGGAGGATCAGCTTCCACTTCTCGATCTGGGAACATGTGACAACAAGATGAGCCTAAATTCTTTGAACACACAAGTGAATTTGTCACAAAGAATTGATAATGAGAGCCGAACACTAAATACCAGGAAAAGGAAAATTAAAAAAAAAAAAATAAATAAAACATATAACAACAAACAAACTATAGTTGAACCTAAAGAATCTGGGGTTACAATATCTAGAAATCCAAATGTCCAGAGGTCTACATCATGAAAAAAATAAGTAAATGATTGCACTAAAGCAGAAGAAGCAGCTAGCAAAAGAAGAAGCAGAAGAAGCAGCAAAAGAAGAAGAAGAAGAGCAGCAAAAAAGAAGAAGAAAAGAAGAAGAGCAAAAGAAAGAAGAAGAAGAAGCAGCAGCAAAGCAAAAGAGAAAGAAGAAGAAGCAGCAGCAAAAAGAAGAAGAAGAAGAAGCAGCAAAAGAAGAAGAAGGAAGAAGAAGCAAAAGAAGAAGAAGACAGCAAAAGAAGAAAGAAGCAAAAGGAGGAAAAAAGGAAAAGAAAAAAGAATCTATGTCATTTCCCTGACATGCAACAACTAAATTAATTTTAGGAATGAATTTGAAATTGATTTTGAAAATAACACTTTCTTTCAGTGAACAGTTTTTGGCAAATTGTTTTTAATGCAGTTGTATGCATTTCTAAAAATTGCATTTGGTCTGGACTCTGTACACACTCTGTTGCATTTGATCCTGTACACAAAGATGTTAAGTAGCTACATAAAAATGCTATGACTGCATCTGTGCATAGGAAGTTGACTAAAAATCAGGGGAAAATTTCTCAGTGACTATTATACCAAATTTCTCTCTATTCACTGGTAAAAGGTGATAATTTTCGACCCCGTCTTCACGGCCTAGAAGTTTTTACATTTATTCTGAAACACCCTTCATAAATAAAATTGGAGAGTGTCAGCGATTTCAAAATAATTGCTTTTTAATAATCTCATTTGCATTTGCAATTTCAATTGTTTAACATAAGCAATTCAATATATTAAAAAACACACAACATTCGATTAAATTATCTTGTACACTATATTTCAAGATGTATCTCGCTTTAAAATGAACAAAATGCAATAAAATTTGCATGTGGATATCTGTCAAATGGGAAGACAAACCATGGTCCTGGCAAACGCAAATTTTCCATTATTATTATTATTATTATTATTATTATTATTATTATTATTATTATTATTATTATTATTATGTTTCGGTATTATTACATAATACTTAATCATGTCAAATGTGGAAAAAATACGTGTCCCTTAAGATTCCGCATTTTGCAAATTTTATCGCATCTACTGAACGTAATTATTTACAGAAAATAGTTTTCATAATATTTCTCAAATTAATGGGAGTGGCATTACAGCGACTTTGACCAAGACACCTTGTTGTGCAGATAAGTGCTATTACACACTTCCATTTTCTTCTGTAAGAATGAGCGCAAACCGGAAGATATCACGATTGATTTATTGATTTCGCAGCTATGGTCATTAGTCCCGTAAATGTAGTACATGCTTATTACTGGACGCGGTGATATTCCCTCGCTGGTTAGTTAGATTCGGTGCAGTGTTACACAAGGAAGCTCTACGCGACCCTATGATCAATTGAATATCGGATATCCACCCCCCCTTCGCGAAAAGACTTGGATGCACACTTATTCGCTGTGAAATAGAAATGATTACAGGGCGGATTTTGATGACCTAAAACATAGTAAAAATTGATCAATGCTCTTACAATGCCCAAAAAGAAAAATGACGTACAAAATTTGATCAAAAACTCTTCAGATGAACAACTCAAGCTGTTGGTTAAGTTGATGTTGAAATCGAGGCTTCTTACTTTCGTTAAAGTGAACTCATCTTGCGAAAATTGGTTTTGGACTGAACATGCCGAACTGAAAATGGCGCCGATAAACGTCACAGAAATCTTAGATTGCATAGTACTCACAACGGCTGAGATGACTACATGCGCAAGTAGGCTACTCAAGAATTCTGGGGTGAACATACGTTGCACCTCGTAAATATTGTTTAAACAAAGTACCATTAAAATTATATTAACATCGTCAAAATTGCGAAAAATGCAGTAAAAATGTAAAAAGGGGAAAAATTACTTATTAGTCAAAATTGAAGAAAAATGCAAAAAACATAAAAATAGGTCATTTCGTTTTGTAATGACCTAAAATGAATTTCTATACAAAACGGCATTGTTCTAAAGCAAAAAGAAAAAAAATCATTTTATTAAAATCCGCCCCCTAGTTATGATTGTATGTTTGGCAAATTGTTTTTATTTGAACAGAACAAGTTAAACAATTGTGGGTACAGTAGAATTTGCATTTTCAGTTGGTGAGTATTTTTAAGCAATTTTATCTTTTGTGCCTAATTTCACAGAGTGACTACTAAACTTTGTCTCGCTAATCAATCACATTTTAAATTCGGATCTAAGAAATATACAATGCTTAGCAAATTTTCCTGTTTCACAAGTTACTTTAGTCTTTTAGACAAAATATATTATAATACAACTATATATTATTCAAAACAAGACTTAATTGGTATCTGCAGCTGTTGAAACACGTCATCGGAGCCTGGCTTCCTTCCACTTGAGTAAAAGCATGTGTTATTGTTGGACTGACTGGCGTTATCAGCTGGCGCTACAGCGATGCATCTTTGAGAATCTGTCCGACTAATCGTCCGCTGGCCTCACCAGAGACCACTGAATACTCGTTTGCTTGTGTGTCTCGCCGGGTCCTGGAGCTTGATCTTTCGCGAGAGCGAGGGTAGAAGAAAGTTTTATCATGGAGAAGAGGAAACGTTGAAGTCCTCTTGCAAGCCACTCGAAAAATCCAATTCACAGCTCTCTCAAACCCTCTCTTACTATTGAGAAAGCTCAGAGTGAAGTGTGCGGAGCTGGAGATATTTCCGTAGCGAGAAGCCAGTTCAACTACGTCTTTTGGAAAGGAGAATTTCCATTTACCAACAACCCTGGGACCATAGGCAAGGGGTCTCTTCCCCATATTTGACGCACGTTTCATTTTAAGTTCAGAGCGAAGAAAGATAGGGTCTTCAGGGGGCCGATTTACTTTCGCGTATCACCAATCTAGCCATCGAGACTTAATCAAATTTTTGGTGGTGGGGAACCTACTATTGAGCTTCGTCGGACCGGCAAGCTGCTGTTGGTTCAACTTAAATTCATCGAAATGTGCGAGAAAATCTTTTAAATCCACAGGAGAACGATGATGGACGTTTACACCTTCGATTCTTATGAGTGTTCAAGGGGTGTTTTTCTCCAAACAGAGTTGTCCTGTGTGCTGATAAAGAGACTTGTCTGTGTTGACATATTTTTGTAGAGATTTTAATCAGTGTGAAAAGACACCAGCATCTAGAGCCAGATTATTTCCAATAGTTTGGCAGTGTTCTAGTCTGCTGACCTGCTCGGCATTTTAACTGTTCCATTTCTTTGGCGAACTACCGCTAGGAACGTTCTTCACTTGTCTATTTCGTGAGAAGCTTAATCGCATTGAGCCTTTCATTGCTTTGACTTCATGGAGAGTAATAATAAAAAATGAGGCATTGTTTCGTTGTCTATCTTTGCAAAAGAAACTTTCTGGGTCAGCGTTGTTTCCATTAATCTTCTCTCCCTGGCGGAAGAGAGTAGGGAAGGGGGAACGAAATCCATATCGAGGATAAGCTATACAGCCCTGCGGATTCCGACAGGGGGACTCTCGATTGGAGAGTTAGGGATGTCACGGGGATATAGCAAGCAGTGGCAGGACTTTTCCCTACCGCACACTAGAAGGCAAACAAAGGGATATCACCCATTCTCCCCAGAATTCCAAGACCTAGTACTAGTCGATTGATCAGGTGTGTTCACACAACGGAGTTGTACGAAGTCCATTCCCCAAAATTCCGACGTCAAGGGGGATGGGAATGACCACGCACAGACCCTCAATTGTCAGGCCAGAAAAGGACTAGCGAGTAGCTACTGTGATTTGTACTTTCCCTTGGATTATCCGATCAATACCAGGCCGTGGCACAGTTTTAATGCCGCGGCAGTAAAAATGAAACCTGGGTCGCGCGCGATCATTCCTTCTTCATTATTGTTCCATCCTCTCCCTTATACTCTCACGCATACATACACTTCACAACCACACGCGAAGGGAAACTATTCGGGAACCTAGAGCTTGTCCCAGCCGACCGGTGGCTGAAGAGCGCCGGACATCACGTGCCAGAGGAGGAGAAGAAACCACCCACTCCAATGACATAACATGCGTTACACTTGAGGGACTATTGACCAACGCAAGTGACTGTCCTAAGAATCAATACTTACATCAGTGGAAGGGAAAAAAAAGTGTTGATCGATGACATCGACTGTACCACACCAGATGTTAGGAAGTAATTCTAGAAGTACTATTAATCTGAATTGTTGACGCCTCCAGGCTAAATCTGTAGCCCAATTGATCGCAACACACAGCACCATCAAGGTAGACATCGACAAGATGAAAAGGCGCTTAAGTTCACTCTATCTGTATAGTAAGGTGCTCTTTGTAAGGTGTTCGCTCTACCTGTAATGCTACATGCGACGTGGACCTGATAAGTGCCACATTCCGACGAGCGTTTGTTTCTGGTAGGAAAACGAACCGGTACCAATGTTACAATATCCGCGTTCGTCTTTGGAACAAGTGGTTAAATTGATAGTAATTAGACTCGGTACTTTCAGAGCATCTTGCGGCACATCGTCTGCAGATAAAACAGAAATATGATGTGTTGCGTATGCTATCATTGGACTCGCCAAAAACAGCGAATGCGGTTCTTAGCGTGTGCTCACAACCGGTCACCCGAGCGGGCTTCCATACCAGGTCGCTTAGGAAGTCGTTTCCATACCGATTCGTTATTTTGATCATTTGACGCGTTGGCGCGGAGCGGGACTCACCGGCGCCGGGGACCGCCTGCTTGGCCAGCTTGCGCAGCGCGGCGGCGAACGAGTGGTCCACCCCGTGGCGGCGCCCGCCCGCGGCGCCGGCGGCGGCGGCAGCGGCGGCGGCGGCGGCCGCGGCGGCGGCGGCGCCCGCCCCCAGGCGGCGCGCCGGGCCCGGGCCAGCGCCGGGCGGGCCGCGGGGCCCGGCCGGGGCCGGGGCCCAGGCCCGGCAAACCGTGTGCCGCGCCGGGCAGCGAAGGCGCCCGCACCGCCCCGACGTCCGCGGTGCTTGCTGGGCGGCGCGGCGGGCCAGGGGGCACGCAGGTGGCTGGGGCCCAGGGGCTTCGCGCCAGGAAAGGCCCAGCCCTGCAACAGAGACAACGCGCGTCACAACGGGAACAAACCACGTCCACTCACACCTCAAAACTGCGAGACTCTTAATAAAGAGTTAACTGCAAATTAGAGTTATGCTGACTTGAAAGCTGGGAAACTAAATTCTCTCGAATTCTGAAGAATATGATTTTTGCACATTTGGTGACTGATTATTTGCGAATTACACTTTTCTTGATCTAGCAAAATAAAACTCAATAAATTAACTCTACGGGGAGCAAGACGAGTTCATTTTTTTTCATTTTGAAGGAGACGTTGCCACATCTTGCGCACATAATGACGAGGTTATAGTTGTTGGCTGGGGAGGATCGGAATGCACCGGGATTGACGGGAGGGGGGTGGGGGTGCGCAACAGCAGCTACTGCCCCTCGTTGGCATTCCTGCTAGCGGCGGGCAGCCCGCGCCTCCGCCGCCGCCCCGCATACTAATGGGCGGACGAAGAGCGCAGGCGCCAGCGGCGTCCGAAGGGCCCGCCCACCGCCCCACGCTGACGTCTCCAGCTCTTTCTGCTTTTCACTACTTCATTGCACACAAATCTTTCAAAACGATTAAAGTCTCGCTTAATACACATAAAATAAAATAAAACCCGCTGATATTAGGAAACGCATTAGAAAAGAAATGACAAAAGTAGCGGAGAGCATCGAAGAACCTCGCTCGCAACGCCGAACGCTGGAGAAGGGACGAAGAAGCCCCGCGGACGAAGCCTCGCCGTGGCCCCGGGCGTGGCGTGGGCGGCGACGAGAGCAGGCGGCTCGCTCCAGGCGCAAGACGGCGTACGCTCGGGTGCAATCTCACGGGGCAGCCGTCGCCGCCACAACAACGAGGAACAGAGGAGGTTTCGCGGGGCTCGTTTCGAACAAGTGCAGCGCGATGCCAATGACTTCGGAAACGATTCGCTCCAGTCTTCCAGAGAGCAAATGAAAAGCTAGCGCGTAGTTGGCTTCCGATAGTCGGTAAGCAATTTTCCAGGATTTGCGCAAGCGCTTTTCGTAAACAATATTAAATATATTTTCCTTGAGATTCCGTAGTTCATCAGACGCCACAGGAAGGCTATTCAGCTCCGTGCACTAGTCACGTCCGCTGTGGCGAAGATTCACCTTTCACGTTACAAAATTCTCTCTTAGTAATGCTGACACGTCATTTATATTTAACGTATGATTTCCCGGGTATGCTTTTCTGGCAAGTTATATTTTTTTTACCCATAGCTCTGATTACAAAAAGGCAGGAAATAAAATTTTGTAGAGTAAGATACGAAAAGTCTTTAAATTGCAAATAACTTCATTCACCGAGATGTCCCAAACAAAAATGTTATCAGAGTAATAAAATGTCACATACGTAATAATAATGATAATAATAATAGTAATAAATTTGTACTTCATGCCAAAACATTTTATTTTGCTTTTTAATTTACTTGCAAACCAATATTTTTAAAACGTCACAGCTTCACGATTCGTGCGTCCGTATGCTGCGATGGTTAACTGCAAAGTAATTCGTACAGTGGAATATGAAGATCAACAGCCCTCTGGGTTGTGTTGCTTGAAAGACTACGCACAAAGAATGTCATTTAAACTTCAATTCAAGTCTGATTAGTCTTTGGTTCTTATAACAAGCAGCGCCTTCTACGTGCACTTTCGTGGTTTCCTTGCTCAGACGATACGATAATGCAGCATGATAATATCAATTTCGGGAAGTTCAGAAACGCAGATTCCGGTTGTGGATTTGAGATAGTACATCTATTTTTTCTTCTTCTGCACGCCCTTTCTGAACCTAGAGCACTCTTCGTAGTACGATGACGTGGAAGCATCGCGCGTGAGTATTCCCGAGCACTCGAGGAGCAGAGTTCGCTGTTGCCGAGAGCCTATCATTTCCGCCGCCTGTCGCTCAGCCTTCCCGCCCGCCCCGTTTCCTCTCCCGCGCTGCGCCCCATCAATCCTCAATTAGTCGCATTCGCCGCGGGGAGCGCGTGCGGCGCGGGTGGGGCCAGGGGCACCTGCGGAGCCCGCGCCCCTCCCCCCCTCCCTCCGGCGCGTCAATGGAGACCCGCCCCCTCCGGCGCTCTCATTTTTCACCGGCGCCGGCGGCAGCGGCAGCGGCTGGTTCCGACGGTTGCGGAGGTTGCAGCGTCTCTCCGCACCGCACCCCTCGCTCGCTCGCTTCTCAATCGTTTACCCTCGACGAGGCTGCGAACTAGTGGGTCCGAACACGGAATTGCCATGGAAGAACAAGCGTTTGAAGAAACGGAGGACGAGTGAAAGGGTGAAGCAGGGAGGGAAGCAAGTTGGTGATAGTCGGTGACGAAGCGCGTTTAGAGGCAAGGGGTGTGGCAGAGAGCCGTGTATTGGAGAGGGCCACGAGGGCTGCCGCCGCCGGGGTGCCTGGCGCACGCAGGCGCCGGCGCAGCGGGCGAGCGACAGCTGCGGCTCCCAAAGGAAGGGGGGCGCGAGTGGGCGGCAGATGTGGCGCACGTCACTTCCTGCGGGCTTCTCTCACGTGACCGGAAGCGGGAGGGACGCCATCCTACGACGTGACGCTCCTTCTAGGTCGCTCAACGCCCGGAAGGTGTCGAAATCTGGGAGGAGCGGGCGGCTGAATATGTGAAAAATATGCCGTGTAAATCAAATGGGAAAATGCTCGCAGTACTTTACGCACCAGATGTACGTATTTGATGTCATCGGCAAGACATAACAAGAGAAAGGTGATCGATATTAACACGCTGAGCATGGAAATTCCAACCGCAGGAGTAAATTCTAAATCTAGAATACATGTTCGTTCTAACATATACAAGTGCACCCCATCTCGTATCTCCTATCTTGTTCAATGCTATCTTGTTGAACAAGCCCTACATAACTGATAAAGGAAATGTTCAGGCATGAGAATAAAAATTGAAACACCTTTCACTGCCTTTTATTAGCTGATGACCGGGTAATCTCTGCTCACGATGAAGAGGATATGGTGAATATGCTAAGAAAGCAATTCGATGAATATAATAAATGGGGATAAGAAATACATTTTTATAAAACAATAAAGAACTATAAATAAATAGAATAAAAAACTAAATAATATTATAAAACAAATTAAATAGAACGTATGTGCACTGCGGACGCAATAACGGATAAAGGCGTGAATTGAAACAAAATTAACACCTTGCAATATCTTGGATCTTTAATAAATAACTCGGGAACATGTGCCACAGATATAAACTCTAGAGTAATTATGGGGGAATGAAGCAACCAAAGCTCTACACAGGATACTATGGAATAACAATATCAGCCAAGATGTCAAAAGAAGGATATTCCACTGTGTAGTGGACATAGTACTATACGGAGCGGAAATGTGGCCACTAACACAAAAAACAAGAGAAGATCAGGACTGTGGAAACGGACTACATGAGACGCTGCCTACCACTTACTCGCAGAAAATGCGAAATGAAGAAACATGGAGAAGGATTAATGTAACTTGTTCTATTAGGAAGACCTAGAAAAATAGAGCACAACTATGGTAAGGACATGATCAAAGAATGTGAAAACAGATGGCCATACAAGATCCAAAAGTGGCAACCACAAGACGAGGAAGACCCGTTTTAGAGCGCGCAATCTACATCCAGGAAGCTATGGAGGATAGAGGCCTCAAACCAGGAGATTGGGAGGGCCGAGAGTTAAGGAGAGTGAAAACGGTAGGTTTCCGAGGGAAAAATGCCGAAGAAGAAGAAGAAGAAGAAGAAGTTCGGTCAAGAAATATTGCAGCTTCGCACTCAAGGCCATATTTCGGGACCTTTAAACATTTTCTAAACTTCAGAATCTAAAGTTATGTAGATCTGCTCTATCTGCGACACAGTAAGATTTATACATAATTTGCGAAATAAAAATGTTGCACGGAAAATCAAAACCTAACTTACTGTACAGGAGGGTTAGCACAATGTCAATGGAGAATTTCCTTATTGCACCCGTTGCAATGTTGATTTGTATTCAATAAAAAATGTCGTGTCTCCGTCTCACTATCATAGCTAAATAAAATATATGTTGAATATTTGTTACATCTCATCCAAAATACATACAGAACATTATAAAACATGTACGATGCATAACTATGCAAAATACTGTACTTACTGGGAGGATTAATGTTCCAAGAAAATAATTGATTTATATATTTGTAAAATATTCTTATTTCTTCTATAAGTAATATGCTACGGAAAAGTTATAAAAAGCAATCAGCACAAAAGTTAACCGTTATAAAAAGCCATCAGCGCAAACATTAGTAAATAGATATTTTGTAGGCAACTACTCCCCTTGCATCAAAAATATTTAAGACGAAAAATGCGAAACTTTGTAATTATGATTTGCACAAATTAGCAATTACGAACGCAGTCCCGAATTCACTTAACATAACCACTACCGTTATCATTGCGCACAACTCAGAAACGATGAATTCTAGGATCCCAAGAACGCCCGCTTTTGGTACAGAAAGGCTCGAGTTATTTTATCGTGATCTACAAATTGCGTCCTTTAATTATTACATTTTTCAGAGTGGATTGTCTTACTAGACGCAGTTGAGACAAAACCCCGAGAATGAACTTCTACTGGATAGCTTCTATTAAATACCTTTTACAGAGAAATCCGGTAATTAAATTTAAGACGAATAATACATGTTATTAATTGTATTTATTAATTTCGCACAATCGCAATTTTTATTTTCATTATTGTTCCACAGTTCCACTGACGCGTTCTGCCAAGAGGAGACTCTGATCGTTGTGAAAACAGATTCAAACAAATTACTTTGTTTACGACAGATTCCGACAGGACACAAATTCATTCCGACCCAGATTTACACACGTACCTCCTTTGTGCTTTCGTACGTAGGTAGACGTGATCTAGAAGTTTATCTAATTCACGCCCAACTCCGGGC